TATTAAATTTGTTCTAGAATTGTAACCAAATCGTTAATTTGCACTGTTGGCACTGATTTGAAAGAGACAGAAAAATAGCAGAGGAAATTTGTTCATTTAAGATTATCTTTCAGTTAATAAATGCTAATATTAAACTTTAAAACTGGATCAAAATCTACAAAAATTCAAGCCAGTGGAGTTTAACAATTTAAAAGCAGTTATGTTTTAGAGTGTAATTTAATATTGTAGTTAACAATTACAAATCCACTTTTTTTAACCTATATGCAATGTGGGTTCCCTTTGGTTTTGAAATGTGGTAATATTTATTGTATGTAATTTTGTTTCTATTTTTTATTTTGTTAAAAAAGTGTAATAAAAAAAATTGAGGTTTTTTGGCCAAAATTACGATTTTTTCAGTGTAAAATTACGATTTTTCATCAAAAGCCTTCGGCAACGCTGGACATACCGACGACAACACACTCTTAAATTGTCACTCTGCAACATCCTGCGCAGAGAGACACATTTTTTATATCGCGCATTGCGTGACCTTCTATGTATAATAATAATAATATTAATATACCCTCTAGTATTTAATAATATTAATATACCCTCTAGTATTTATGATGGTTTTCATTTTGTTTATAATGCTTTATATTTAACAGCAATAAAGATATCTTGGTCAAACATACTCTTATTCCTTTCAAAAACGTAACTAACGATGAATATGAAGCTGCTATGTCGAAAGTAAACGAAACTATGTCTATTAACCTAGAACTTGAAGAATGCAGCCTCTCAAAACAACTTGATAATGTAAGTATATTATATATGTATTTCCGGAACTTGTGACCTTTTGTAAATACGACCTTTTTATGTTTGTAGGCTGCGGAAGGTACTGGCCTTGCCTTCATTGTAATCACACAGGCGATTGTTGAGTTACCTGGTGCACCATTTTGGGCGGTTCTATTTTTTACCATGTTGCTCTCACTTGGCTTGGGCTCTCAAATTGGCATACTGGAAGGGATGCTGTGTACCCTTTTTGACATTGATATTATAAAACGGGTTAAGAAACAGCATGTGACTGGAGTGGTGTGCCTCTTCTGTTTCACTATAGGTTTCATATTCTGTACAGGTGCTGGCGAATATTGGCTCAAGATGTTCGACTCATTTGCGGGAACCATCGGTTTGGTTGTGGTCGCGTTGATGGAGACTATTGCTGTTGTATACATATATGGGCACGAAAGGTAAGTGTAGCTGATATTCGATATTTACCGGTGAAAATATGTCGTACTATCCGGACGTCGTATAAACAGAACTGCTCTTTGCTGGTATTTTTTTATACCCGCACACTTGTGCACGGGGTATTATAATTTGTTCGCATAACGGTTGTTTGCAACAGCCTAAAGGAATCGAGATAGATATAGACAAATGTATACATAAATGATCAGAATGAAGAGAGAAGTCGATTAAGCCATGTCTGTCTGTCCGTACGTTCGTCCGTCCGTGTACACGACTACTCGAGCAAAAATTGAGATATTTTAACGAAATTTGTATAACGGTATTTTCGAAATATGCAAAAGCTATGATATTTCAGTAAATAATCGATCCAAATAGTTGAAAGTTAGTATGTGAAGTAGAATTTTGGTACGAAATNAATGTATACATAAATGATCAGAATGAAGAGAGAAGTCGATTAAGCCATGTCTGTCTGTCCGTACGTTCGTCCGTCCGTGTACACGACTACTCGAGCAAAAATTGAGATATTTTAACGAAATTTGTATAACGGTATTTTCGAAATATGCAAAAGCTATGATATTTCAGTAAATAATCGATCCAAATAGTTGAAAACTAGTATGTGAAGTAGAATTTTGGTACGAAACAATATTATTATGAAATTTTTGGAAAAGGGGCATGGCCCCGCCCACTTATGATGAAATACTGTATCTTAGTAGCCGCTTCACCAATCCTTACCAAACTCGGTACGAGCCTTGCTTAGGATCCAGCTAAGGAATTTGCTGAGCAAAAAATTGATTATCAGGTTGCCACCTTTCTAAAAATAATAAGATTTTCAAAGTTCATTGGACTAAAAAATGAGGTAACAAGTGAAAGAATATGGTCTCCGGATAAGCTTTTATTTTTTT